ACAGTTGTTTCGCCGGAATGTACCACGTCCACGTTCCTACTCTGGAAATGATGATGCATACAATGAACTCCGGACACGTGCGTTCCTCTAAGTCTTCCTAACAATATGACCGAGTTGCGAAAACAAGGTCAAACAACTTATTCATATCATATCGCCCATTTACATTATGCAACTAGTTTGGGCCTGTGTGAATATTTTTCATGTCTAATGCATTATTTGCCTTTTCGCCTATTTGCTTTACTTTCACCCTGAAGATCGTACTCCACTGACGGCAACAGGACCCGCGAATTTCCCTTCCGTCCATCGTTAGACCTCTCCGAGGGCCTATTGCCTCAAGTTACCGCTGGCTCGCAGATGAACTCACCATCATCTTTCGCCTCAGCCATCGGTTCTGGCCCACTCTCCGACCACTCAAACCTCGTGTTTGCCACAACCTGTGACTGCTGGCCGACTCACCTCGAGGCCGGTCATCTGTTGGCCTGCATCTCGAATGGCAAGAAAGAGAGTTTGGAGATCGAGCCCACTTTTGCACCACCTACAGGCAGGGTTGGGTCAGGTCGAATGGTCAACGGCAAAAGGGCGAAGCTGCCAGCAGACGGTATCGGTTGGAAGGTCGGATTGGACAACGGCCAGATTGGACGGCATCTTTCCGAGACGGTAATTTGTCTGTCTTTAACCCTTTTGTCCTTTCTCCCTTTTTCCCTGAGGGCAAGTGTGTAGACTATGATGCATGAGCTGTACTCACTCTATTTTGTGTAGTGTTATGAAGAAATGGTACTATAATTTTTTCACAATCAGTCGAGTAGACCACATGTTTGCATTGAATTTCACATAGTTTTGCTTCCCATCCCGGCTGAAGTGGACTGCATTTTCGACCTCGTCTGTACTGGTCTACTCAGCACCATCAGCAGAATTCGACGTGTCCACATTATACATTGCACCAGCATGGTTCGAGTTCAGACCAGGGCTGGACTGCTGATAAAACCAGGGCGAGGCGGAAACTGCAGTCCAGTTGAATTTGGATGAGAAGATTATTTGGAAAGTAGGTCTATGTGAAATTCAATGGAAACATGAGGTCTATTCAACAATATCACTTATTCATCACATCAAACGAAATAAGGTTAATACAGCTCTTATATCAGCTCTGCTGGTAGTCTCAAAAGCCTACTCATGATAATAAAAATAGACCATGGTGTGTCTACAGTATGGTCGCATCGAATCGAATGGTATCCTCCTCATAGTGGCTGTGAGTTGCGAGGTTACGAGGTTGTGAGGGCTCAATTTCTCGGCCATCGAAGTTACGACGACCAGACGGACAAACTCATTAGCATTCTCTACACTCCATCTGTTGCCGGGATCGACCTCGTCTGGGTGTGTGGAGTAGACCCGGTCGAGGTCAAACCAGAATTCAAATCAGGCTGGTGACCCGCTCATGGGAGACAGCATCTTTTGAAGTAAAACTGCGGAAACAGATCTTCTTTCTGGCTTGTCGAGGTGGGCTGTATTCGCAATCCTTCAGCCGCAAATCCAGCGTCTACTCGCTTTGTAGTCTTGGTTTTATAATTAGTTCTACATAAGAACTTATGCTAATACAAGTTGGGTTTTGAAGGACATCGTGGCTTATACTTGTTGCGTTTACTTATATTTTGAACAAATTAAGGCGCATAAACTCACACAAGTGGACAGATTCTTATGCTTGGAGGATGACATATACTTGAAAAAACCAAATCACTTTATACCCTACCAAAAAGCATGGAGATAAGGTAAAAATATAACGTATTTAGTGATAACCGGGTAATATTTTCGCCTTATGAGCTGCGTTCACCCTATTTCGTTTAGGATGATGAAGGACTGGTAGTTGAATTTTCCCACAATGATTTGAATAGAGCTGACGTTTCAATTGAATTTCACATAGCCTTGCTTTCCCAAAAGTTGTTCTCATCCAGCCAGAAATGGGCTGCAGTTTCGACCTTGCATAGGTCTATTATCGAACCGTGACAGTGCAGAATGTGAGCTTGACACTTTTGGGCAAGCAAGGCTGTGTGAAATGCAATGGAAACATCAGCTCTACTCATATCATTGTGGGAAAATTGTACTACCAGTCCTTTATCACCTTAAACGAAATAGGGTGGATACATCTCATAGCATTGATTAACTGGTCGGTAGCCTCGAGACTCGACCTACATACAAAATATAAGCTTTTCGTCTTGTTTGCTGGAAAATAGTTGTAAATATGATACCCTAATCTGAAGGTGCCCGACACATAAGGGCTTAGCATGTGTTCACCGAAATCGAAGGAGATTTACTCGGAAACAGCTTCAAGAAGAATGTTCTAGTAAAACCAACCGACAGTTGACAGAGAGGAATCCTCCGTCGTCTTCTGGTGGGACAGACCTTCGAATCTCCTCACCAAACACCTTCATTCTAAATGGAAGTGAGCTCAACAATATGGATTTAACTAGCCTGGGTTGCCAGAAGTGATTTAGGCAGCGATAATTGATATGAAGAATGACTGAGTTTCCATGACTCTTTTGAGATGAAATTGTTGGAGTGACCTTTATTTCGTATGGTAGTGCATGAAGAGAGAGATTCGTAGATTAATCTCATCACACTTTACTAGAATGAGTTCCAGCTTTCATTATGTCTATCATATGATGGACGAAAGCTCAGTCCGTTTTCACCCGAAGCGAAGGAGGATGTCTCGTGGACTTCGTCAATTTGAAGGTCGTATTAAAGCCAATGACTTCAGTAGAACGGGCTTCAGCCTTCGTCTTCTGGTGAGATCGACCTACAAATCTCTTCTTCCTGCACTTTCATACGAAATAAGAGGTCCCCCCCACCAGTTATAATTGAGTTCTATCACATCAAAATGAATGGACTTCATGGTTGTATTGGATCCTACTTGGCTTTGCTTTCAAGAAGATACTTTTATTCAGACTTGACAAGAGTTTGAGGATAGCTTTTGGTTATCCAAATTCACTGACATGATTGTGGAAAAATTCAACTATCATTTCGCCACCATCGCTACACTCGAATAAAGATGCGTCTGGCTACCTGCTGTTTCGAGAATTACTTAATCCGAAATTAAATTTTTATTCATCCTCTACGGTCGACTACGCTATTTATCTAGTCAGGAATAGGTGTCGAGACTATCTTTTAATTTTGAATAAAACTTCCAGTCACCCTAAATCACATTAATTGGTGTGACTCAGGCGAGGTTGAATCCAGCCCGTGTGAAGATGTCTTTTGGGAAACAAGACTACGAGGAATTCAACGGAAACACGAGG